TTAGACCTCCGGTGGGATACCAGATATCTGTCTAGACCTCGGAGGTGGGAACCTGTCCTGAAGTATAGACCTCCAGTGGGACACTGGGCCCCTGGGACCTCGCTCTTCGGCCGCACACCAATAAGCCGGATTCCCCTTAGATACCGAGGCTCCTCCTTGCCAAGACCTCCGGTGGGACACCGGAACCCTGCGTATAGACCATCGGTGGGATGCCGAACCTGTTTATATCTCTTGTTCCGATTGTGGCGTGCCTGGGACTACCTGCTCGGACCTTGTCCGTTACATCACTTCAACCTTGTGCCCCTCAGGCATCCAAACCCTCATCCCAATGGTGCACATCACACCAAGAATCATCTCTCCTCAACACTCAACATCTCTACTCAGGAAGATGCACATGATCACATCATCTCCTGGTGCCCATATACTCCCAACAGGTACATCCTACTCGACCACAACTGGAAACCAGGCCCCAATGGTATTCAGAAGTACAAAGTAGATTTCTCCAAACAATACGCCGCTATTGGAGTCGCAAAATTCAACTACTGCACCGAGTCGTTGCATGCGGCGGAGCTCCGCCCTAGACTCAGCCAACGCTCTCCGTCCGACAAGGAGACAACGTGTTGCGGACCTTAAAAGGCGAATCTAGTATGTCAGCAGCTTGAGCAGGCAAGAGAGAGTTAATATGATGCTATATGGGTTGGATGGAGGGCATCGGGAGTCAATCGAAGACCTTGTATGCTCCCTAGTAACAGTAGAGCCAACTCAGAAATATGGTATGACCTGTTTGGCACGGGCAAAAACACTATTGGATGCAGTGTATATCCTGTGTTAGAGCAGTTTTGAGTAGTGTTGGCGGTGACCAGGGCTGATGAATTGACTAGTGCTGGCCATGAATATGGTCAATGACCAGTGGTCAGTGAAAGGAGGTGACTGGGGGTGATGGGTTGTTAGAGTAGTGTTGGTATACCTACAATCAGGGGACTGCTTTTTTGACCAACGATAAAATAGCCGCAATAAAGAGGTACGGCTCTTAAGTGTTGTATATTTTTACTAGCATGGGTAAAGGCCACAGCTTGGGTAATTCTCGATAAAAGTTACGATTCTATTCCCACAAACCCTAACCCACCATTACTTTTGACACCTGCCGTGATCAGTATCATATTGCTGACCACTGGCCATGGCATGGGGGGGGGGGGGTGACTAGTAGTTGTCGATTTGTGACCGGTGGTCGCCGCCAGCACTGGTTTTGAGTAAGTGGAACTGCATGGCGCCTTGAGGATTTGGGGTTGCTAGAACGTATACCCGCAGGTAAACATTTCTACATTAAAAAAATATCCAATTTAAATAATTTCTGCAGGTTTGGAATCGCTCAATGAAGGTGCATCTAACCTAGAGACCAAATTTTTAAAGTAGGCGTTGTGGTGTTGAATTCTAGACAGCTTGGAAAAGCGACCCAGGAAACTTTTGGTGGCTCGGGGGCTTCACCAAGATACCATGATAATTGGGGCAACCTTTTCAATACCATGCATTTTTCAACAAACCTTTTGGATACCATCGGCCGGGAAATGTGCCATCGACAAAGTGAAACCTTTGCAAAGAATTACTTCACCTTTGACCCATCATAAAATAATGAGGAAAAGTCCAAAAAGTAAACTAAAATAGGGAAAGATAAATCTGATAATGGTTAGATTTCTAATTTTCTTTGTAGTTAGAAAAGACTCCTGTGTGTTGGTCTACCCTTGCTTCAAAGTGGTGTGGTTTGAGTGGAAAATTGTGACAAGAATTCCAAGGAAATTGCGAAAGCCTTCACAAAAGAACTTAGTTCATCTTCAAAAATTGTGAAAAAAAGTAGAAAAATATCTAGAGGCTTCAGGTTATTTCTAATCTTTTTTTACAAATTCTTGAAAGTTAATTGGGTTATTTGAGGAATAAATAGACAGAAATAGTTCTTTAGGATTTTGCTGTTTGTTGCTATGTGAAACCTTTTGGATGGTATATTCCCCGGGGGATGGTATCCGAAAGGTAGGGCGCTAATTGCATGGTATTCAAAAGGTTTTCTCAATCGTGGCCGCATCTACTCCAGCAGTCATACCCGGAGTCGTTTCTGTCAGACATGATCAGGAGCACGGATTTTGGGGCGTTCTGAGCACAACCCCAATCACGAACTCTAGAGCATTTTTTTTTTTTCCATCCCGATTACTGTAATAAGATAGTATTCCAGATTTCAAACTGGACTGGAAGGTCTCAGCGGTTCAAGGGATAGGCCCACCAAGTTCCCAGCTTAGACGTTCCCCCCAAAAGCTGAGCCAACATGTCCTGTTACAGAATAGGGCCGAATCACGTGGGGGGCGGCTCAGGGAACTGAGGTAATTGAGCCCCACCTTCTCCGCGTTTATCACTGTCTATTGCACTGAATTTTTCAGTGCATGTATTCTTGTACAAACTCTTTTTATATCATGGTTTCAGGTACTCTCACATTTTTTTGATCTGATATTTGTTTCGAAGGACCCATTTCACTTCCGGATTGTATGTAGTTGGGTGGACTAGGTTTTAGGAAAGTTGAACCATATCATATTTTTGGCACCGCATGCATTCCTAACTTGTCTGGATAGCTATATGTATTGTGGTTAACCCGGCTGCCGTTAGTTGACAGGTGTGCCCCCAAGATTGATGGTATGTCCAGTAAAAAAGTTTTCTTTCTGACGGTGCTTTTTCCTGGGCATTCGCTTTCACTTGACTTGGAACTGTGGAACCCCTCTCCTCAAATACTGCAAAAATGGGAATAATTGAACCTCGAAATATTCGTACGGTGAGTCCCTCGCATCCCCCCTGACATCCCTCTTTTTATTTTTCATGGTGGGGGGTTGGAAATCATCCTTCCTCAGTCTTTCCCCCATAATTCAGGATGACCCGTATATCCCAGCGTGAACTCTATTTTTTCCGGCTTTTGCGGTGTGCCAAAGCATGGGAAACTTTGACTCAACGTCACTGGGATGGCAAAGAAGAGACAGATGCAGGAGGGGATGGGGTAAACTTGGTGGCTCTTTCGTAACTGGTAATTCTCTTCAGATTTTATATGGGACTACTTTTCTGATGAATGTGAGAGTGAAAATTGTTAGGTTCCAATTGCCCACAAATGCCCCCTACGCTAGGGAGTTGTGGGAGGACAACTCATGAGAGAAATGAGGTCATTAGCAAGCATTCCTGCCGCCAAATTTTCCAATCACCAAAGCTATCTTCCGGTCAATTTTTTCATCTATTCTAGTTTACTAAAAGGTAGTTCTCGAGTGGGTCGCACCCACTGTGCACTGGCACCATATGCGGACTTTGGTTAAGAGTAAACTAACGGTTAAGATAGGAGCATATGTAAGCCAAGTCAATGCATTCCGATCCTTCCACACTCGTGGTCATCCACACCTATCTATGTTCCTCCATGCGCTCCCGGCGTGGCGGGGGAGAGGCATGTCTGCTGTACCATCAGCACAATCCACGACACTCCCGAATGACTTCTCTACACTCCCTCCACTTCAGGAATCATACACAACACCCCGTTGCTCTTCTGGGACCTCTAGTAGAGTAGTAGTCCATTCTACTTCCTCACCGGTGTCTTAGAAACTGGCTTGCGCAGGCGTTCCGACACTACAAAGCAAGGACTGCTTGCTCCTCAGATAAACCGAAATCCTAAAGCCTTCTACTTAGTCCTCCAATTGAACCGAGGCGGACTTAAACCCACGAAACCCCAATTCCGGGTACATAAACGATTAGGTTATTTTGAGATGAGTTCTCAGTTATCAACGCACCACGCATCGCGCCTTCCCAATTCGGGTGGTGGGCCTGGAGGGGGGGTGGGTCGGGAAAGGAAGCGAACCCCCCGATCAATATTGAGGCGAATATGGCGGCGTTGCGCGGGGTGCCTTGGGCCCCGTTTGTCGGACTCAGCCATGGCATCGCCAGTCGACCCGGGAATGCATTATAACCAACAAAGGTCTTACAAGCGGGGAATGTCCGGAAATCAACAAAAGCCCCAGAGTCGGCAGATTCCTAGCCTGCCCGAAACCACCGGTAGTCTGCCGGGCCCTAGTTATCCGTACGAGGGGTATCAATACGGTACACAAGCGCCCGAAACCACCGGTAGTCTACCGGGCCCTGGTTATCCGTACGAGGGGTATCAATACGGTACACAGGCGCCCGAAACCATCAGTAGTCTGCCGGGCCCTGGTTATCCGTACGAGGGGTATCAATACGGTACACAAGCGCGGCACTGCACTGTCATACCGCCCGGGTCTGGTGCAGGATATCCCCCGTACCCGCCACCTCAGCTAGGCCAACAAGTCCGCCCGGTGCCACCGGAGGTCAGTCCTGGTGCAGAAATAATAATAGCACTGATGGGAGTTACAGGTAAAGTCCAAAGTGTACTCAAAACCGATACGTATTGCTGACACAAGCCATAGGCGCTGGTAAAAGCTATTTCATTAGAGAGGTCTCTGGTAACTCTCAGATCGAAGTGAGCAGTGATCTCTACTCTTGTAAGATAGCCTCCTTCTGGAGAGGTTGGGCTCGAGCGCTGACAGGGGGAAGGCACCCGCAAGGTCCAATCCTACTCTTTTGAGTATAAGGGGGCAAAAATCACGCTAGTAGACACTCCGGGGTTCAATGATACGGATAGAAGCGATACCGAGGTCCTACAAGAGTTTGCTGATTGGGCTACCTATACCTATAAGCAGGGGCGACTCCTCTCCGGTATCATCTATCTTCATCCCATCACCCATACCCGCATGGAGGGTTCTGCCCTAAGGAATCTTAGGATGTTCTGGAGCTTGTGTGGTCAGGAATTCCTGAGCAACGTTCTTCTCACAACAACGCAGTGGTCTAACGTTGATCTGGGAGAAGGGAGGCTTCGTGAGAATAGTCTCCGGAATTGGGATTTCTGGGGAGGGCTTATTGATAAGGGTGCCACTCTCCAGAGATTCGATGGTACTAGAGAATCAGGATTGGAGCTTATCCGCAGATTGATGCCAAAAGAGCCAAAGCCTCTCGATATCCAGAGTCAGATTGTCGAGCAAAATAGGACCCTTCTTGAGACCGACGCAGGACAATGCATTAACGAGGAATTGATTGCCCAAGAGAAGAGACATAAGGAGGAAATAGAATCCCTGGAGAGAGAACGGCGGGGGGCTATCAATGAAAGTGATAATGAGATCAGGGAGATCCTTGCGACGGAGCAGGCAAGATTTCGCAAGAATCTCGAAAAAGTCTCTGCCGAAAAGAAATTGTTAGCAGAGTTGCATGAAGCGGGGGGAGAAAGGCGCAAGGGGAGAGAAATGGGGGAGCAGTTGTTGCTTGGTAGTTGAAAATACCTAACGGTCAACTCTTGACAGGTGTGTGCAGAGGAGCGAGACAGGGGCAGGTGTGTGGCGCCTCAAATATCATGAGCGAGAAAAATAGGGGATTGCGACTAACATTTGGCATAGCCTCCCTTTGCTTCTAGGACAGCGTCCACGCCATTGGGCATTAGTCCTAGCACACCAAGGCCTTCCCGGAAGAGAGGAGAGATGAACGATGATCAAAAAAACGGCAGAGGAACTCGATACTCATTCCTTTCTCTGTATTTGTTATTTCTCACTGGGTGATCTTGGGATTATCCTTTCTCCGTGCGGGTAACTAGGCCCCCCGGATGTATTAAACATGGCGATAGAGAGGATTTTTTATGGGGCTGGGTTATTGTGTCCAGGCACTTGTACTTGTACTGTAATTATAATTATATAAGAAAAAGAAAGTATGGTAAACTTAGAACTCACACTCCTCTTTTTGGTGAGACATGTATCACGTGTGCTTGTGTGAGGAAGCTGAATGACCCTACTTGAACTCTATAAAGACTAGAGATGACGAAATGAGGGAGATCCTTACAGGAGAGAGAAGAAGCTCAAAAAGGCTCCGGGTGAGAAGAAATTGTTGGTAGGGTTGCATGCAGTAGAGCTAGAAAGGCGCAAAGCTAGGGAGAAGAGAAGGCGGAAGGGGGAGAAGGGCGATAGGACAGTGATTTCTGACGCTACCAGGGGCATCGCGATCACGACTCATGTCACGGGCGTGTCCACTGACTGTAACACTAGGGGCCGCTTGATCCCAGACATCGGTAGCCAAGGGGAATCCAGGTCCAACACCTCCAGGGTAACAATCCATTACAAACTTAACTCCTTTTTTGGCTTCTAAGTTTATCTAGAGACATCTCGGGGGGGTGTTTGATGAGGGGTGGGTGAGATGGATTGAATTACCCCGGGTGGAACACTTGGGATGTGAGCGTAGGTCAGTCGAGCTTTGGCTCATTGGTCGAAATTATTATGTGTGTATGATACCCATAATTCCACCAGAAACATGTAATCCGTGCTAATTTTTTGGTGAAGGGAGAATTCTGTCGAACTCTTGCCTAGTGGCTAGGGATTCCCCTTCCACGAGTGCTCGAGAGGCCACTAGTCCAATTAGGGGGGTTTATCTTTGATACTTTGTACACTATCTGCGCAAATCTGGTATTTATCTAGCAAGGGGCGGTAGTGGCACTATATTGTGTGCGTTGACTAAGTATCTTGAAATCGGAAAGTGGAAGGAAAGGGAAGTCTTTTAGGGTGTGACGGGGAGTGCCAACGAGTAATGGGGCTTACAGAAGAAAAGGAGGATCCCCCTGGTCCGGATCTGTTTGTAGAATTCGTCAATGCCTGTAATTGTTTTATTTGTGTTTTCTATTTTACTTTTGTTTTTCCGTTTCCGGGGTCGGACCGTCTCTCGCAATGGCCATGGGCGTGCGGGTCAGGGAAGGGACCGGATAGACGGGGGTGACTTGAATTCATCGAGTGATTTTCCATGACTCTGGGTCGGTGTAAAGTACTCTGGGATCGTTTTGGGAGTTGCGACACAAAGGTTGTATGTAGATTGAGTAAGTATCACGGGGGGTCGGATTTAGTGAATATGGGTGTGCAGGGATTTAAGTTGACCGGGAAGCTCAGAGGGGTTAGCAGGGATGTATGTTCGAGTATTATAGGTACTGTAGGTGCACGGGAGATTAGGACTTACCGGCAGCCGGTAAGTCCTAGTTTTGGAGGTGTTAAGGCTTTATAGTGTTAGGGTTGGTATCCGGAAAATCAACTGGTTTTCCGCTGTGCGGTGAAAATCGCTTACCAGAAATGGAACCACGGTACTTGAGCACTCTTCTCGGGGTAGGGTAAAAGTATTTAGGCAGACTGGTGTGTTAATATCTGCGTGCCATCTCCGGGGAATGAGTTGTCTAGCGTTTATAGGGTACCAGTAGTAGGATACATATCACAAGAGTTTGCATCAAAAGGCAAGCCAAAGGAAGGGGGGGGGGGGAGGGCGCCTACAAGAGGAGAAAAAATAAGCACCTAAGGATATCCGGTTTACTGTTCTTGCTACCGCAGAGTAAGGATTAGTAGGCTTTGAGGATGGCTGAAATATGATCTTTCTTGCTGTTCTCCCCTTTTGCCCCCAACACGCAGACATATGTACGGAAGATGCATACCCCTGCTTATCCCTATGCATTACCCTTGCCCTAAGTAGAACATAGGAATCATCCGTACCATACCCACACAAGCTGTGCCAAGTAACTGATAAGACATGGGTATTATTCCATGGATGACGCCCTGCAGTGTTACAGAAAAATGATAGACTCTTAATGCGAGAAGTCTCATGCGGGGGGATTGAGGCCTGGCTCCCGAAAGCACTACCTGTACTCGAGTACATTCCAAACGTATTCAGAAACCTTGACATGGTTTAGTCCCGAGAAAGTCTTGGATTTCCCGATGCTTTTAGCATTAGCTTGCTCTCGTACTCTGACGCCGATATTTTGTCATAGTTGCTCACTCGTATCTCTTCCTGAGTCCGATTTTTACACATGCAGGTCTAACAATTGGGAACCGGGTGCTGGTGCACGCTCACCAAAAACCTGAAATTTTTTTGAAGATGGGTTTAGCTAGTATCGGGTCGTCCTCTAAGGACGGAATCCTAAGGACTGGGCCCTGCTGATTCTTTACCTTTCTACGGTCGGTGTTACCTGGTGTCTTCGATTCGTTCGCGCTATATAATCTCGGGTTGTGGCCGTTTGAGGGGAAAGTTTTAGGCGATTTGCGTTGCAGTCGTACAGTTTTTTTGTCACCGGGATCGTGAAGCGCCCGCCCATCACTCGAGTGCTGTACACGGGAGGTTGATCCGGAAATACTAGGCTGCACCAGCGCTAGTGCGGGACAAGTGCTGGTACCTGAGTACAATACTGTATAGTACTCGAATTGGTGGAGAAAGCCTGCGCACGCCAAGCCTGGATGCATCATATTGTGTCTCGGGTACCGGCCGTATGGCGCACTGCTCCAGTGTCCATAAAAATCGGAAAAGTGATAGTCCACATTTCCTCGAGGGTTGCGACGCCAACAAGATGCCCGGGGAAATTGGAAACTAAGGAGCATGGAGGACTAGAACAAGAGGGATTAGATGCTGACAATGATACCCAGCAATAGTCATATGACAAATTGAAGAGGAATCCAAACTAGACTCTCATATTGCCTGCGGTGAGTCCGCTACAATTATGAGAAATTCCCTTGGGGTGTCCAGAGTGTGTAATGTCATGAACAGAAAGAGAGACGATCAGGGAGAGTGGAAACCCGGATTGGTTGCCTTGAGATCTCAGACAACTTTATTGGCCGGTCGAAATAATCACCACATTTCCATCCTTGGTTTCCGATATTATGGACACACTCGAGTACTGTACAGTGCAGTACACCTAAGGCATCAGGAATCCCCCTACTTTAGATTGCGGGGGAGAAAAATGAGAGACAATGGTGTTTCAATTTTCTGCTGGGACAGGTAAGAAGAAAAAATATCACGGACCTTATTGGGTGAGGTGATTAGCTTCTCAGCGCTGGGTGGAATGATCCCAGTTATTTTTTCATCCGATCTTGTATGCTTTTGTAGATATAACCTCTCGTCACTCCTGCATTCTACATATGTCCTAGTGACGCGACCGCTCACTCGAGCACTGTATTAGCTGTTTGCTATGGATTTCCTTTATGAGAAGTCCTTAGCTGTACGTGGAGAAGTGAATATGTGTAGAGTTTATATGATATGCAGATATGTGTTGTGAGTTGAATTGAGTGGTTTTGATATTAAACACATTTTATTGGTATCCGTACGGACTGCGCGTGCTGAAATTTGACTTTGCGCCTGTCCGGTTCTCGTGGTGTGGTAACGTTTGCAAAACGGACTGCTATTGCATATCACAAGAGTTTTGAGGCTGCGACCGATTTTTGGATGTATTCAATGGCTGGCGGTACTTTCTGGGAAGGTTGCGAGATGGCGGGTACGGTGCAGGGTACGTCGGGTAAGTTTGTTATAGTACAAATTTTCCTGGTCGGCCGGAGGACATCCTAGACCGCTCGAAGGACAGAGTTCGCTCTAGCTACTGTGCTGGGAGTTCGCTAGACTTTCCCCTTCACCGAAAGTTAGAGTAACTGGCATGTCAGGCTGCATCCGCATTACATACACGGGATTTCGTCAGGCTATATCAGGGCTAGTCAGGGGTTCTTCCCCCCCATTTCGAGCTTACCACGAGTAATCAAAACTAATGCCCCAGCACCAACCGCATACCCCCCACAAGGCTTGTCCTCACAACTTCGTTATAGTCTTGCTTAACCCATTACAGGTCCACCGGATCCTCGTGCAAAAAAATGAAATTGGGTTCTAAGTTACTAGCCTTCTAGTTGGTTATAATAAGTTATATTTTTTATCACTCCCGATTGCTAGGCTAAACTACGCAGGGTCTTTGACATTGACCTTTTTTGCAGTCTGGGTGTGGCTAGAATATCTACTAGGTGGCGCATTGGTGCATCAGCGCGGTGGGTATTGCCAGCCTCTTGTCCCCTACCAGACTTTGAGAATGCCATCATATTATTTGGGGGTTTTCGATTCCGGTTGTAATATCTTAGTGCCCAGGGATGTATCAGAGCCTGCGCACAAAAGGAATTCAAAGGGTTGGTAATGGGTAGGTAGTGGGAGACGATAGAAATCGCGAATCTATAGTGCTAGAAGCTATAGGGGGAAGTGTACACCCCTGCCGTATCAGAGAGTGGCTTTGTCGCAAAAATTGAATATATTGTGTTCCTGAAATTCAATTAGTCTGCGTAGACTAAGTGAGAAAATAGAAGCGGGGGATTACACGCCCCCCCATCTCTCCCGGCTCCTTTATTGGATCCTTCAAGGGGATCGCGATGTTGCTTTTGCGGGGATTTTCATTAGACGTGGCATCCACCAACAGCACTCTTTGGCTACTCTACGGACTCAAATAATTGGAGCTCGCTCCACCCGTATAAAGAATTGGCTCTCCTAGTAAGGTGTATGATATTTCCTGTTTTATCTTTCATACTCGAGAACTGAAAGACATTCTTCTCTAGCGTTTTTCATATGATAATCGGGGACTGTGGATGCTCTTGTTATCCTGGTTTTTACGGTATATCGAGAGAAGGGAAAACTCAGCTCAAATGACTGAGGTAAGAAAAACAAACAACACATGCGGAAGAGCGTGGAGAAAGCGTAGTGGTTCTTCTGTAGCTAGAAATTCACTTCCAGTCTTATATGGTGCATGAGGTAGCATTTTTGAGTTGACATAGCAGGTTTTCACTGCTATCCGCTACTGGTAATTTTCTAGTTTGTGGCCACAACCACTATTGCATACTGCTATACCCGTGAGGCTCTGGCCGATCTTTTGCCCACTTGCAGTAGCAGCTGTGCTCACAAACGTCGAGGAGCCGCTCAAACGTAATAGGAGGGGAGCAACGGACAGGAGGGGCACAGCCAACAGTGCTAATAGTTTTGCCATTCACGGCTAGCTTCTTGGTGGATTGCTCGCCGCCCCCCCATTGTTTACTATCACCCCTGCTGTGTTAATCGGGCAGCAGCGAGGCTAGGAACTTAACCATTCTGACCCTAGTATGGGCCTCACCACATGCTGCCCTGATAACTACTACAACCACCCCCTGAAATTGTAAGACTTTCGATATATTCCTCGCGTTGAACTGAAGTAAACCTAAGCCCGCGAAGGCCCAATACCGGACTCTTCAGCAGTCAGATTATTTTGAGATGAATTCTCAGTCATCAGCAGATCATCCTGGCAGCTCAGATGGCGGGCCTGGAGGGGGGGCGAGGGGGGGAAGGGAGCAAGAACACGGATCAAAATTTAAGGGAATGTGGCGATATTGCAAGAAGAGCTTCACCAGGAGGACGAGACCGCGACCACGCAATCCACAACCGCCCGAAAGTCAACAAACTCCCAACGTACATGAATTGCCCGGTAGTCAACAGGGACCTGGCTATCAACACGAGGGGCGTCACCACCATACACAACCCCAGAATCGCGCGGAAATGCCGGTAACTGCTACTGTGGCTAATATTGATGACACAATGCCGCCGGTGGGTAGTCCCGATGATGAAATCATAATAGCATTGATGGGGGTCACAGGTGAAATCCAAAGTGTATTCAAAACCAGTACGCATCTGCTAAGATAAGCGACAGGCGCTGGTAAAAGTTACTTCATCAGAGAGGTCTCTAGTAACCCTCAGGTCGAAGTGGGTTGCGATCTCTATTCTTGTAAGATGGTAACTGCTGGAGAGGTTTAGCTCGACTGCTGACAATAGGAAGGCACCCGTAAGGTCCAATCTTACTCTTTCGAGTACCAGGGAGCAAAAATCACGCTAGTCGACACTCCTGGCTTTAATGATACGAATCGAAGCGATACCGTGGTCTTACGAGAGATTGCCAATTGGACCACGGAGACCTACAGAGATGATCGACTCCTCTCCGGTATCATCTACCTCCACCCCATCACCCATTCTCGCATGGAAGGCTCTTCCCTGAGAAACCTGAGGATGTTCCGGAGCTTGTGTGGTCAGAAAGCCCTGGAGAATGTGCTGCTCACAACAACGCAGTGGTCTAACGTTGATCCGGGAGAAGGGGGGCTCCGTGAGACTAGTCTCCGCCAGAATCAGGATTTCTGGGGAGGGCTAATCGATAAGGGTGCTACTCTCGAGAGATTCGATGGCACTAGGGAATCTGGGTTGAGGATTATCCACAGGTTGATACCAAATGAGCGAAAACCTCTCGATATACAGGAACAGATTGTGGAGCAAAATAGGACCCTATTCGAAACTGATGCAGGGCAACGCATTAACGAGGAATTGATTGCCCAAGAGAAGAGACACGAGGAGGAAATAGAATCCCTGAAGAAGCAATGGGAAGAAGCTATGAAGTCAATGAAAGATGAGGTAGAGAACCTTCTGAAGGAGCAAAAAAAGGCTGAGAAGGAGCTTGAAAAGGTCTTAGCAGAAAAGAAATTGCTTGAAGAGCTGCATGAAGAGGAGGTAGCAAAGCGGAAGGAGAGAGAGAAGCGGGAAGGAGGGGGGGACTATGATAAGGCAGTGATTGCTGTGGCTATTAATGATATGCCCCAGGTGGTAAGAGGGCTCACAACCTATAGCGCCAAATGCCGCTTGATCTCCGACATCAATAAGCACGAGGAATTCAGGTCCAACACTTTCAGGATCACGATCCATTACTTACCCAGAAACCCCTCCGGCGTTGGGGGCCATACCGGAACGAGTCAACAGATGCTCGATGCGGGGGCGAGCGCCACCAGCTACATTATCTGGAGTGGAGTACACTATCGGCTCGAATCCGGCACTCGTCTCGCAAGAGGCGGCCAAAATTTCCTCATCTTTAGCAGAGCTTAATTTTGGATGGCTTATGAGAGGTAGGATTGGTGCTGCATTGTATGAATTGCCTGAGTGTCTAGCAACCGGCTGGCCGAGAGAGCAGGAAGGGCGTTAGCGTACTGATAGGGATAGTGGAATAGTAGCGGGCGGGACCTGCTGAAGAATAGGGGGATTTCCTTGGACTAGGTTTATTTGAGAAATTATTACAGCGTATGGAGTTGTTTTCTTTGTCCGGTTATTTTTAGTTTTCGGTGTCAGTTAGCATCGGAGTGGAGGCTCTGTGGAAACAGGGGAAGGTTAGGGAGATGTCTTGCACCATGCTAAGGTAAAATCTGGTTCAAATTACAAAGGCTTGATTTCCTAGTGTGTAGTTTGTGCTTCTGCCTCTCCACTATCACAGGAAGCGAAGAAGGAGGGCTTTGGATCCCACTATCCAAAGTGTTTAATTCCAGCATCCCGATTCTCTCTCGCCAGCACCCTACCACCAAGCCTCGCGGTTTATCCTGTGATGGTGAAGCCGTTGCACGCCTTAGATATCCTCCACCCAGGGTATTGCTGCTGTATGTTCACACGCCTATGGGTTAGATCTGACTATCTCTTGCAATCCCCGTGGGTGGTCAGCCGGGAAAGGGGACTGAATTGAGAGCAGTGATTAGATATATCGGGGATTGCTAATAATTGGCTAAGTTGTGGTGAAATGATTTTGTATCATAATATTACGGGAGTTACGACACAAAGGCTGTGGATTAAATTGATATTATGGAGGTAATATTATTATTATGATACCATATCGCACAGAGGTTAGGTTGGCTGGAAAGATTGGTCGGGTAGTAAATGTATTTACTATGCATACAAGTCCACCTCCATGTTCAAGTGGGCTAGCTACTAGGACCTTGAGCTCAACCCAGGTTTAAAGGTCACGGGGATTTGGGGTTAGGGTTGACATTCTGATATTCGGAATGTAAAAAGGTCTCCTAGCTGTGAGTAAACGGGGTTTCTATATAATAGCGGTTGTCTGCCCCTGTTGTTATTGTGATTTTAGGAGGTCTTGATAATTTGAGAGGGGTTGGAAGAAAATTATCCCTTTGTGCCGGGGCATCTATCCACCCGTTGCCGGATCTGGTAATGATCCCCCATTTTTGAAGCATGGAAGCTGGTGTATGAGCACACCATCACTGGAACGGTGCTATTTACTTTACTTTTTTTTTGGCAGCCTATGACTACACTTGCCTAGCTTATCGCACAATGGAATTTCCTCTCAACTGTGCTCAACTCATGAAATTTCCTAAGGCCCAATAGAGAGCACAGGTTCAGTATGTTAAACGGGTTACAATTTACTGGCGCTCTCAATGGTCCGGGGGCCTCGTAAGGCCCGGAGGGCGGCTAAGGACCCTGGACCGGGCTGGACGTGGACGGTGAGTAACGGTATTTGACTGTGGGGTTTATTAGGGGGGATAACCCTTTTATGCCGACTACAAGTCAGAAGATTATGATACCTCAAATCACATGAGTGGGTGATGTGTAAAGCTTTTTTTTTTTTTTTTTAGTAGATGGAAAATAAAAATTACGGACTCAAGACGGGGGAGATATCTACTCAGGGGTGTGGACGGATAGACTGTAAAACTGACAATTGTTGGAAAGTGAAGACGGGGGTAGGCTCCGAGGATCTTCCAATAATGAGGTCCGCATCTGGGCCTTACTAGAACTATTATTGCTTTCTTATACTCTTGTTATTCCTATAACCCTGTTTTTTCCCAGCAGGTTACATCCCGGAATATTGGTATATTTGCTTCAATATACCATGAACCTTGGGAGGTTTATCCCATATTATAGAATGGAAAGCTTTATCACCTATTGTTTATCAAAACATAAATTTTAGTTCCTACAGGCGCTTATCTATGGCCTAAACGGAATGGTGATATCCGGATTTACCGCTAAACAGTTCAGACCGCTCCAGCGGTACGTCAACACTGAGCCCTGCCGAGCACTGAAGCGCGCTCTTCAGTGATGTGCTGCCTAGATTGGTCGTCTTCTATCCCGGATATCGTGCCCTTCATCGTGAGGTGGTATTGTGCGTACTTTGGTGTCCAGAGTCTGTATATTTCCCGGAGGTGTTCCCCGTTCTTACAATTAAAGGCCCTCAATAAATAATTCGGCACTACAAATGCAATGGAAAAAAATGGGGGCACTGATTCGATAATGAGATAATGCGGAAAAAAAACTCTTGGGCATTACTAACGCTATAGTAGGGGACTACTGGGCCAGTCGTCTGTCCTTCCCAGCTGTAGGGAAAGTTGCCTGGAGGGAGGGACAGGATGACAGGGAATGGCCCTCCCCGTCCACCCCCGTCCGCCGTCAAGATGAACAGATTGCCCCATTGCGAAAACTGCAATTCAGAACTACCGGGAGGATAGTAGGTAATCTGGTCAATTTGGTTAAAGGCGACGGCGTCCTAGATACCTGCTCTTCTCTGTGGCCCTCTTGGCTGTTATGATTCCATATATCTGAGGCTAGCCACTCCGCACCCCCGGCTAAGAATAGTCAAAGCAAAAGAAGAAGGAGGTGGCCTAAATGCTGTAAAGAACCCACCATCCTGAGCCTAGTATGATACCTGCTATGACACGGAACCTTTCCTAGAAACCTACTCTAGCTTCCGGGCTTAGGAATAAGGCTGTATTGGTAGTCGGGGCTCGTTTTTCCAATCTTGCCATTATCAGTGACCAAAACGGTGGAAAAGTATTTCGCCAGAACGCCATCTGAGCCACAATAAAACAAATCCTGGCACCTATTTCACCACGCCTACAAACCTTCTGATGGGTAAGTTATAATATGAACACTATCAGTGAAACCAACTAATACTATCACACCCTCCCCAAAGGATAAATACCAAAATTCCAGCAATAAATTTCCTATGCCCTCCCCTTGAAAAGTATATATTCCCTTTTCTCTCTCTCTATTCTCTCTCCTTTATGTTTCCTGCTTTACTCCGCTTTGCCGCCCCCGGTAAGATCATAGTCTTGGATGGGGGAACTTCTTTTTATGTTTATCATATTTGGATTACCCTAAGTCTGGACTACTGGCTTGCTAGGCAGGGGCCGGATGAGTGCTGGTCCAAGTGTTGCACTATTTCCAGTTTGGTGCGAAGGGGTTCCCCCCCCACACCTGTTTTAGGCCCTGTTTGGCACTCCAGAAAAATGTCATTTTTTTATAGGGAGTATTATCAATCACTAAACAAACACTGTAAAAAAAACTGAAAACTTGAGTGGCGTCTTAAATACAATTAACCACACCAAAAAGAGCTGCCACATGCCAAAAAAAAAAAAAAGACAAGATGTGATAATACTATGATATCGCAATTTAGGGTTTATGAACCCAGCCACCACCTTTGACGGGTATGATACGATATTCATTTCATCTCTATAAACCCTGAAAAATGGGAATGGTTTTCCCAAATACAATTATTTTTTATATGGTTTTTATATAGTGGCGTGTCAAACAGTGCCTTATATTTTTCGACCACTGCGCTGGCAGGTGTGCGTGGTTGAGGGAAAATATGTTGAGGTTATGGGAGGGGAGGAAAAAATCGGAACGGGAAGAGATGTGGTATAGAACATGCATGTTACACAGAGTGACTAGTTCAATGTGTTCAGAAGGAACGCGAGGAGGGCGGTGAGGTCGAAGAGTCAGTCAGAGGAGAGGGGGGAGAGCAGGCTCTCATAGGGAAAATTTTTGAATGCCAACGCACGTAATAGTCTACGTACATCATGTCTCCCCATAGCTGTAACGCGTAATAATCAACCTATGTTCAAGAGACGTTGCATTAGGGTTGCAAGAATTTCTTTGGTGACAGGAATGTGACCAGCTTCTATAGTGAAGCAATCACACATCTGAAACTTCGTGCTTGGTGGATGTATTTTACTGATGGTTGGGAATAGAAAAAGCGCCTTTACTGAACTTCCAAAGTAATATTTTTTTGGCGAGAACTAATATGTACAATTAGAGGCCGGAGAACTCCTCAAATCGTCTATCGTACGTAGGACGATTTAAAGTTACAAGCATTGTAGACAAGCGTATCATATCATTAGCTCTACACCATGAAGGGGGGCCGTATCCGGAGAACGATTTGTCCAAGTGAGATTAAGATCCCGGACACCTAAGGCTGATTCAGCCAAAAGCAGCCAAAGAGAGTCTTTGACAGCGGAGTTTAACACATATCAAAGTTCAAGAATGGGTAAGACATTGCGGACTTATCTGTTATTTGAGATTTCTGATAAGTTTGTTTGTATTGTTGATATCTCAGGTTCACCACTAGGGCTGAGAGTGACCGGACTATTCATCTCACAGTGGGTGAAGCCGACTTACGGAGGCTCAGATGCAGTGGGTTAGCCACCTAGCCTGGCGTGTGGGTCTGTGCGACCTTTGTCGGTTGGCATGCTATTGCAGTTATACGGCATTGGGTAAAATTGAAGGGCGTATCTGCCCGCCTTCTTCAGCAGCCCAGTTGTTCCTAGGGAAGAGAATATATTCCACAGACCAAAGCCCCGCATGCGGTTTAAAATACATGGGGAATGGTGGTCCCTGGTTTAATCAATATTTCGGCAAGAGTAGGTAACTACAATGCGCATATACCAGTTACTATCCATCAGGCAATGGTGTCAAGCCAACATTCCCGCCCGGTTTTTGGCGTTTCATCGCCGGGCTGATTGCCATGTTTTCGGGCATGTTTCCTGTTTTAGCAGGTATTACACTGACTTTGTTAGTGCATCGTGCATCTGGGCATGAGCGATCCAAAATAACCAGGACAGAAATTTGAGCTAAGGCCCCCAGTCTCCAGAGGGATAGTCTCGATATCAATATTTGCAATGAAAATAGGCAGGTTCGGCTGTGCGTCGGAGAGTCTTGCGACGGGATGCATTTCAGATAGACAACTGAAGCCTGCCGGACACCCCTACATTGGCGAGAACAATGGAACAAGTACATAAGCGATTTTTATGACCATACGGTAATTTCGATCAGAA